AGGTGCCTCCTTGAAGGGGAGATGATGTCAGCCTCCCTGAGCCAGGCTGTCTCTGGTCAAGGACACAGCTACCGGCTCATAGACTGTACCCTGATGGCTCCTTAGGAGCACTGGTTTTGGAGTCTGCTCATTTGGGACTCAAATCCTGGGGCTGCCACTTGCCAGCTGTATGACTTTGACAAGGTACTTACTTAACCTTGCCCTTTCAGTCTAAGTGCGCTTCTCAGACAGGTGCAAATATTCCTGAAAGGAGCAGGAGCTTGTCGCTGTGCTTGGGGATATAAAGTCACGGGCATTTGCTAGTAAAGCACCAATTTTATTCAAACATTGGTGGTGTGCATGTGTGTGTGTGTGTGTGTGTGTGTGTGTGTGTGTGTACTCTGGCACCAGTAACATAATATTTGCATTAAAAAGAATCTACGGGGGCTGTCAGAAAGTATCTAGCCATAATTTTCATGATTTTCATAGTACATGGCTGGATATTTCCCAGACAGCCCTTATAGCTATGTAGTAGAAGAGACAGTCCGATGGTCATGAATTTTAAGGCTGAACATGGAACTCTGAAGCCTTTTAATGTTTGTCTTGGCCTGCTTTTGTCTATACATTCTCTCTTGGTGCACACCCATTCTCTCTTTTTCTGTTTTAAGGTACTTCTGAGCTATATGTGACAGAAAACTGTTTTCCTATAAAATGGTGATAACATCTCCTGCCTAGGAGCAGTGCTGTAACGATTACATAAGAAAACATATTTAAAATCATTCAAGGTTTGGTGATGAGTTATTAGATAAAATGCCAAAGGCACAACTCATGAAAGAAAAAGCTGGTAACTTAGATTTCATTAAAATTAAAAACTTCTGTTTTGTGAAAGACACTATTAAGATAGTGAAAAGACAAGCCACAGAATGGGAGAAAATGTTTGCAAAACACATTTGGTAAAGGACTTACATCCAAAATATACAAAAAAACATGTAAAACCCAACAATAAGAAAACAAACAATCCAATTTAAAAAATGAGCAGATACCTCACCAAATAAGGTATATAGAAGGGAAATAATCATATGAAAAGGTAATCAATATAAATTGTCATTGGGGAATTACAGGTTAAAACAACAGTGAGATATCACTACACACCTATTAGAATGGCCAAAACCCAACACACTGACAACACTAAATGTTAACAAGGATGTGGAGCAACAGGAGCTTTGATTCCTTGCTTGTGGGAGTGCAAAATGGTACAGCCACGTTAGAAGACAGTGTGGCAGTTTCTTACAAAACTAAATATAGTCTAACCATATGATCCAGCAATGCGCTCCTAGGTATTTCTCAAACTGATCTGAAACTAATGTCCAAATACAAACCTGCACACAGTTGTTTATAGCAGCTTTATTTTCATATTTGCCAAAAACTGAGAAAAAAAATCCCCACAAGATATCTTTTATAAGCGAGTGAATAGACATATTGTGGTACATATACACAATGTAATACTACTTCATGATTAAAAAATAAGGAGCTACCAAACTACGAAAAGATGTGGATGAATCTTAAATGCATATGCTACCTGAGGAAGGTAGTCTGAAAGGCTATATACTGTATGATTCCAACTCTATGCCATTCTAGAAAAAGCAAAACTGTAGCAGCAGTAAAAAGATTGGCAGTTCTTTGCCAGGGATTTAGGGGATTATTGAATAGCTGAAGTGTAAGGGACTTTTTGGAGTGGTGAAACTATTCTGTATGTTACTGCAATTGTGGATACATGACAATATGCATTCATCAAAACACACAGAACTTTGCAGAACTGAGCCAACTGAATGCATTCAAATGAAAAAAACATTTAGGATGTTAAAGGACCCTAGGGTGAGATGCATAATGTGACAAAACAATCTAATTATATCAAAAATGTATAAAGCAACCACAGTGAAGAGGGTGGAAGAAATTGTTGTGGACCTAAGTTATTTTGGAAAGGAAGACAAAAGAAACAGTATATAAGTACTGTACTTTAGTTGAAAAGTTGTTTCCCATGAGGATATGAGTTAATAATTCTGACATATACAAGTACGCTGGAATTGAATAATTAAATAAATGGGTGGTGCATAGTTGGAACCAGGTTTCTTACTGTTGGAGTGGGAGTGCATAGGTGAACAAGAGGAGGAAGGTAGAATGATCCGTGTGATAATGGATTAGAATTGGAGACATCACTATAAACCAGGTTTAGCTTAATATAGATATCGATGGTCACATACAGAAATTTATAGATATGTGTATACACTATCAATATATTTCCTGGCTCTGTCAGCTGAGAGAGCCTAGAAATAATAACATCCCAGTAGCAACAAGCACACCTAGTATTCGGATTTTGGTTTCTAATACCATTGTACAATAAAAGGAACCAGCAATCCTTGGAGAAATGGCTGAATCTATTACTGGAGCAGGATATTTGTAAGATGAGCCTAGAGCATCTCATAGTACCAGAAAGTAAGGAATTGTTCAAAAACAAAACGAAACAAAAATAATGATAGAGGGTAGGGGTATGTCAAAGCAATGCAGGAACCGACCGAGAGAGCTGCCAATGGCCAAAGCTGGAACAGTTTGAATGACAAAATAAATAAGGTCGTATTGGATTACAACATAAAATATAAAATAAATATCTGTGAGTTCATACTGATATACATAAATAATTGGAGAAATAAACCATTGGGGAGAATATAAAAATTTCCTGTGCAGCAGAATTTCAAATAATTTATGTAGATGTTGCACCTTCAAGGTGGTGGAGCATAACTCCCTACTCCTTAAGTGTGGGCAGTGCATAGTGACCCTCCACAGAATACAGTATGGAAAGAGAGGAAAAAAAGGAATAACTTTAAAGTAAAGAAAGCTGACAAACACTGCCTGAGCCAGGCGATCAAGGTCAATGTTAACAGCGGTGATAAGTCATGTTGACATTATGTGTTCTTGATATGATGTAATCAGAATGGCACCACTGTGGTGCTTCTCCCCAAAGCCCAAACCCCAGTCTATCTAATCATGAGAAAATCATCAAAGCCTAACTGAGAGACATTTTACAAAATACCCGACCAGTATTCTGCAAAACTGTCATAAAAAACAAGGACAGTCTGAGAAACGGTCACAGGCCAGAGACAACTAAATGTAATGTGCTATCTTGGATGGGATCCAGGACATGAAAAAGGACATTAGACACAAACTAAGGATGTCTGAAGGAAGTGTGGACTTTAGTTGATAATAATATGTCAATATTAGTTCATTCATTGTAACAAGTATACCACATTCATGTATAATGTTAATATTTGGGGAAACTGGGTGTGAAGTATCTGGAATTCTGTACTAACTTTGCAATTTTTCTGTGAGCCTAGAACTATTCTAAAATATGAAGTTTTTCTTAGAAATGAAATAATATCATTAAAAATCATTTGGTGAGTGGTTGCTATTAAATGGTAATAAAGGTTAATGAGATTAAGAATATTTTATTCACTCAAAGCCCCCGCAAGGAAAGCACTTGGAGAAATAGCTTCATAAGGTCTGTTCCTATAGAAACTGAAATTCCAAGGCATGGATGCTGGCTGGTGCCAGGGTTTCAGAGAAGGGGTACCATTATTCTTCAAGAGACAAAGAAAGGTTTTTTTTTTTTTTCTTTCTTTCTTTCTGAAAGGGAGGAGGAAGCGGGGTAAAACAATAATGAACATTTATCGAGTACTGAACTATGTGCCAAGTGCTTTATCTCGCTGAATCTTCCAACAACCCTGAAGGGATAGTCACAGACTATTCCCATAGATACAGGGAGATAAAGAGGAAACTGAGGCCAAGAGAAGTTAAATGACCCACCCAAGAAGACATAGCTCATGGGGGACGGAGGAAATGAAGCAGGATTTGCACCCAGAAAGGCTGGCCCCGGAGCCATCTCCACGAGCCTAGTTGCTGGGAAATATGAAGGTGCCCGTGAGCACCGAGTGCTCAGCGATGTTTCTACACTCCTGGAGTGTGTCGCGGGAGCACATTTCCTATGGAAAGCAAGAAGGGGCTTGTGTTTTTGTGATTGCCATTGTTGTGCTTTGGTCCGGGGTGGTGTACAGAAGAGAGGTGGTGGGTGGAGGAGGCAGGGGAGTCCTTGAGAAGAGATCGTGGGGGGACTTAGGACTGCCAGGGCCGGTGGGAGCCGCTCAAGTGTACTGAGATCTCCGAGGGTCAGAACGAAGGGGTGGGGACGGAGGGCGCGGTTCTTGGCGGGGCTGGAACACACTGTCATTGCTGCCACTGTCAGCCCCTTCCTGCCCCGCTGCCCACTCCCTCCCCCTCAAACACCCCAGTGGCTCCTTTAATCTGGGCGATCTGGGCGGCTTCCTCAGGGGAAACAGGATGTGTTCTCCAGGCCTGGGCCAGGTCTCTGGGGTCTGGGGCGGGAAGAGGCTGTCTAATTGGTTAGCACGGCGCTAGGCACCAGAGAGGAAGTAACGTTTCCGCGAGTTGAGGAAACTGCCATTTCCTCCTCCAGCAGGAAGCGGCCTTGGCTATTCTCAGCGCCCGCAGCCATGTGGAGCAGGGGAAATCACAGCCTGGCAGTGTCTCTGGTTTGCCTCCTGCAGTTTAACAGTCTCCCAGTCAAAATAAACTGGCTCCTTAGGTCTCCGGGGCATGGTTAAGGTAATAATTGAGAGAGAGAGAGAAGCCAGGGGCCTGGCTGTAGCACAAAGGCACGGAGAAACTTCTAAAACACCGGGCTGGTATTGGTTGCTGGTGCCTCATTAAAGTGGTATAATTGAGGCATTGTGAAGACAAACACACCAGGAGGTTCAGTGACTGCTTTGCAAGCAGCCAGTTTCCACCTTGCGAGACTGGGTTGGCTGGAGTTTGGGTACTTTAAGCACATATGTAGATGAGTTTGCAACAGCAAAGCCACGTGATTCAGCAGAAAGGGAGCTGGGAAAGGAACCAGAGACCTGAGTTCCAACGCAGACTTTGCCAGACGAGCTATTTTGAGGTGGTGACGACATTGTAAACTTTGCTTCCCTGTCTTGAAACTTTGCTTCCCTGTCTCTCGGCCGTCATGGGAGGAAAATGCTCCTTGTTTACCTCATCAAATTATTCCGAAATCGACGTTAATTCCTTCTTTTCCTTTATCTTCTCACAGCCACTGGTTCCAGAGCCCTGGAGATTCACTCCGCCCTCACTGCCCCTTCAGTCCCTCCACAGAAGTCCACCCAGCGCCTACTTGGGGTCTAGAAGCGAGCGCTCCTGGGCATTCGGCAAGGAAGGATATAGTTTACATCCACCAGAAAAGGCAGAGGACAGACACGTGAGATGATTTTACATTGTGATAAGGGCTGTGAAGGACATAAAGAGGGCTGAGGAGTGAGGAGGGATTACTGAAGATGAGGAAGGTGGAGGCCGCCCTGAGCTGGTCACATCTAGACGGTTCTGGACTGGGGACACCCAGCCAGCCATTCGGGGGGAGGGATGGCCGCAGCGGCTCACTTATTTAATGTGTGTTTACTGGGGGATTCTTGATAGGAGAGATGTGGTGATAAGTGAGACAGTTAGGGTCCTTGCCGTCAGGGAGCTTATAGTTCAGAGGGAAAAACCGAAAAAATAAGCAAATAAGAGCAGTCACTGCTAAGCACTCTTCACAGAGTTGAGATAAAGGCTGGTCCTGGCACAGAGTAACTGGGCAACGAGCCAGAGGAAAGGGCAGTGCAGAGGGTCCACTGCAGGAAGGAGGATTCGGGTCAGATAAACAAAACGAATGCAGTGTTCTTCCAACCCACACCTGGATGTTCCCCATGGTACGCTGGTCACCCCGTTGGTGACACTCATTGCTGCCCAAATCACAGTGGCCCCGAGGCCCCTCCGCGTTTACTTGTGAGAGTTCCAGCCTGTCGCAGAGGTTTCCCTTCCCAGGGGTGCTTACACCATCCTGTGCCTTGGGTGTCCTGTCCCGGGGCTGCCACCCCTGCTGGGTGCCTTGAGGTCAGACACACTTCCGGTCCCAGCCTCATGTGCAGACCTGCCGACCCCTCCGATGGGGGTCTCCGTGAGGACACTGATGGGGAAGGTGGACAACAACAAGATCAATGTCTGGAGAGACGCAGCCAGTGTGCAGAGAGGCAGCTCCGGTGGATGACGCAGCGGATCCCCGCTGGGATTCGGGAGGTGGGATTCGCTGGAGAAAGACTTAGTTTCACCCGTTCAAAGGAAAAAGAATTAACAGAGAGCCTGCCACGTGCTAGAGTGATGTCTAGCAGGGGCCGGTGATCCTAGGCCAGTGAAAATCTAGCCCTTGCCCTTGCTACTCACTGAGCTTAGGGTTCAGTGGGATACCAAGGTAGGATGTCTGGATGCAATTCCAAGAGCACCAGGAGGCATTTGAATCACAAAGGAGACTTTCTGTAGCAAGTCATGGCAAACCTAACCCATGCTGGCTTGAACAATAAAGAGGGCTTGTTGGTTCACCTTAGTGGAGAGGATGGAAAGTGGGGAGGCTTCAGGCGTGGTGTGGTCAGGGCTCCGGCTCTGAGTGTCTGTGATTCCCTTGGCTCCATCCCCTTCCTGTAGGCTGGCACCTTCCTCATACTGGTTTCCCTCAAGGTCACAAGATAGCTGCAACAGACACAGGGGTGGCCCTTTCTCATACACATTCCAGGAGGACAGAGGGAGAGCATTATCCCTACGACTTCAAAATTCAATCCTAAGCCTCTTGCTGGTCCTTACACCAGCCCAACCTCTGTGGCCAAGAGAATGCAAAGCCCTGATTACCAATTCCCGTAGCAGGGCCAGTGGCGCTGTCGGGGTTGGCTAACTCAGCTCACCTCTGGAGCAGGGGCAGATCCTATCAGGCCACCAGACAGTGGGTGGGGACTGGCAGTAATGCCCATTCAATGGAAAGATTGGCGTGACTGTGTTTATATTGTTAAAGATCACTCTGGACGGAGATAGACTGGAGAGGGGCACGGGAGGAGGAGGGTAGAACATTAGGAGCTATCCCAGGGAGAGGTGATGGTGGTTGGGCCCGGCGGGGAGGCACGGTGACAGAGCAAAAGGGACAAATCTGGATCCTGCCTCTTGTCCTTGGCAGCTGAGTGGCAATAACAAATCCCTTAACTTCTCTGCATATCCTTTTCCAAATCCATAATATGGCTGTATGAATTCTTAGTTTTCAGGATTAGAGAAGACACCTTAAACGGGGCTGCCACAATGTAGGTCCTCAATGAGCGGCATTATTATTATTATTATTATTATCACCCAAACTCCTTAGTATGAAATTCAAGCCCCTTCATGTTCTGTATCTACAAGCCACTGAGCGGGCATATCTGGGTTCTTCAGACAGAACGCTCTTCCCGTCACAAGGCAGAACCTTCCAGAATGGAAAGTAATTATTCTATAGCCAGTTATGAAACTTCTTTTTTGTCCCCAGGGGATTTTGTCCCTGATCCTGTTAGTCAATGTCTGCACTTGGAGCAGCACAGGGGGTGGTTTGTCATGTTTTCAGTCCACAAATATTGACAAAAGAACGAGGGTTGGCTTAATGCACTTTATTGAGTAAGAACAAATGAGCTCGCTCAAATTTCCAGAAATTTTCTCCTGAACTGAGTTGCAATATAGCTTTTGTCACTTTTCCCAGCCAGAGTCCTGAGCCCAGGAAAGCCCCCATCTTATCACTGCCACTGCAAAATGATTTCACCAAAAACAGTGGGTTGGGTGTTTTCCCTGAGCATAATAATTTTGTGTAGTACAACCAGCGCCTCAGCCTGCAAGGGAGACATGAGATCCTGGCAGAAAGTGAGTCCGTAGCGGGGAGGGGGGGGGGCTGTAGAACAGGTGTGGGGGTGCTGGGCATGCTGGTGGCACAGGACCGATGTGGGGGGTGGGAGGTGGGTGGGTAGGTGGGGGAAGGAGGCACTACTTCAGTTTTAGTTAGGTTTCCACTGGGATGGTGGGAACGGTGAGTTTGGGGAAGAGGTTGACCTGGGTTTTAATCTCATCTCTGCCATTTGTTAGCTGTAAGAATGTTCATTCATTCAAAATAGGCCAGGCATGGGATTAAAAACAACAAAACCTAGGCCGGGCACAGTGGCTCACTCCTGTAATCCTAGCACTTTGGGAGGCCCAGGTAGGAGGATCACTTGAGGCCAAGAGTTTGAGATCAGCCTAAGCAAGAGCAAGACCCCATCTCTACACAAAAATAAAATTAAATTAAAAAACCTAGTCAGGAGTCGTGACACACGCCTGTAGTCCCCCCCTCCTTGGGAGGGTGAGACGGGAGAATCACTTGAGCCCAGGAGTTTGAGGTTACAGTGAGCTTTGATGATGCACTGCACTCTAGCCTGGCTGACAAAGTGAGACCCTGTCTCAAAACAACAAACAAAAAGCTACAAAACCCATTTCTAAGAAATTAGTCTCTGGCGATGGATAGAGAGAAGGAGATTGTCACAAGGTGTGATAGATGGAGATGGAGGTTTGGGTTCTGAGAGAACAGAGGGAACACTGAGTCCAGTCTTGCTTGTGGTGGTCGTGGCGGTCAGAAATCGTGGACTACTTCCTGGAAGACGCAGAGGAGTGCCCGCTTCCTCTGGCAGCCCCGGGGAGGAAGAGGCGTCAGCTTGCAGCAGGAGAGTTGGGGGGCAGGGAGGGGGTGGCAGGGACATGCTCCAGGCAGAAGCCCTAGAGGTGAACGTGAACTTGGGGTGCAGTGGGGCCTGCGGGCCTCTCTGGCTGAGAGGGGAGCAGGGGCTGGATGATGAAGGGTCCAGAAAGCCATGTTAAGATTTCCACCTTATCAGAGGACAAGGCAGAACCACGGGAGGGTTTGAAGCAGGGGCCAGGCCTGTGCATTTTTGGCCGCTCTGTGAAGAATGGACTGAAGGAGACCAAGCCAGGAAGCAGGGACGAGAGTCCAGAGGCTGTCACCTAGCTCAGGTGAGAGATGGCAGCAGCCTGGATGAAGGTGGTGGGTTGGGGAGAAATACTCATCTGTGGATCTCAGAGAAAGAACAGACTACTAGGTGCCAGATGTTCTAGTTGCTTCATTTTATTTCCCCCGACATTCCTCGAGGTAGAGATGGATCTGAGAGGCTGAGCAACTTGTCCGCAGCTGGAAAGTGGCAGCAGCAGAATTCGAACCCAGGTCTGCTGCCCCCACAAGCGTGTGTTTTCACCACAAGACCGTGCTGCTTTCCCAAGTCAAATATAAGAAGTTGTTGTTGATCATATTTAAATTAAGGACCATAGAAGTTCAAGCAATTCTGAAGAATTTAAGTGGAGTGATAAATGCAGACTGAAGAAAATTGTTGACTGATATCCTTGGGTCACCATCAATATCCACCTCCATCTGTCAAAATTCCAGCCACCATCCTCTCTGGGAATTTTGAGAGGTCAATATTCATGGAAGCCTCCCTGAACTCCTCCTTCCCCATCAGAATTTAGAGCACTCATTGCTTTCTTATCATTGCCTCTTCCTAAGTCTGTTTTCCCCACTGGCCTGCAAGCTTTTTGAGGACACAGACTGTGTTTTCATCATTGTAGTATTCCCATGCTTAGCAGGGATAATCTATAGTATCATTAGATATTAGGTGAATGAATGAATGCATGCAAGAGCATTTTAGTTATGATGATAACCTCTGTTTGTTCTGTGTAAATGGCGGATGAGGCTTAGTTGGTGTTTGTTATCCCAAACACTCGCCCTTCTCTATGCCCAATGTTGTTCCTTCTCTTTTTCTGTGAAATCATAAAGCCTTTCTGTTTGTGTGTCCCCTCTTCCCCCTGTGGAACCAAGGCTGCAAAGCAGCGACTCCTCTGCCTGTGGTCAACGGAGTTCTTCCCGAGCCGCCGTTCTCTGGGTCCTTTTGCCCAAATTACATGTTCCTCCCAGCCCTGCTTTAATCATCACAACCTTGAATCCTCATCAGACTCTCTGCCCTATCTCAAACCAGTGCTTAAAGGACACTCTTATCCTCGGAAGAAATGGTATAATTTTCATAAACATGGGTCATTTCCCCCCTTGCATAAATGTCAGATACTAAACCACCACTTAGCAAGATGTACCAGAAATACAGAATGTCTGAACAAAGGCTGTTGACAATAGTATTTTTTCCCCCTGTTTTTTGTAGTTCTGTGCAATTGGTCTCCCAAAATATTCCTAATGCTTTATTTACTTCAGCTTTGGGTTTATTTTGGGACAAACTTTCCTGAAGCTGAATCTTAGGACGTGATTCTTATCCTGGTCACATCCTGGGGAGTTGTTTTGCGCCTTGGTCGAGTGAGTTGTCGCTCTCCCAGGGAGCCCCCGGGTGCTGAGGAAGAGGCAGGAGCCAGAGGATGTCCACTCCCGTGTGCAGGACGGACACAGGGATGACAAGCCGCCAGCCTGGGTGGAAACACTCCCCAAGGAGAGCCGGCGTCTCCCGGCCTCCTACACCACAGACAATGGCAGAAGCAAACCTCGCTCACACTTTATCTGTTTTCTATTCCAGGGCCTGATGTGTCTCATATTTCCCAACATCTGAGTGATTTGTGATTATTAGGAATTCAGACACTGGATGATTAAAACCGCCGGTGCTGGGAATTTTTGCATTTCAGGAAATTTTGGTTGTGAGGCATGCTGGAACCTTCCCAGCGGGCAGACACAAAGGGGAGGAAGTCCAGACAGGGGCCGGAGTGAGACTATGGGAACTGACCACAGGCAGCATGAGGACTCGGCCTTCACGTCAGACAGATCTGCGTGGGGATCCTGCCCCCCGGGCCTCGGTTTCTTCACTAGCAGAGTGGAGGAGGTGATGAGGATTGAGTTAGATAGATAATTCATGGCTGGCACACGGGAAGGGCTGGACAGGAGTTCCACTCCCTTTTCCCTTTTCGAGAGTGGCCAGAAGTCCACTGAGTGTCTATAGGGATTAACGAGGTAAACTGAGGTTCTGTCCAGCACAGGGTTGGGTGTCATGGAGGCCCTAAGGCAGAACCTGTAAGACAGTTCAAGGGACTGGGCCTGCCTCTTAGGGGTGGGAGACCAGGGCTGGCCGAGGTCAGAAAGGACATTCACATCTCAAGCTTTCTTGGCTCAGAGTCAGGCTTTAATCTAAGCTTTGTTATTCCGGATGGTATCGTGTAGCTCCGTGATTCTCAAAGTGTGGGCTGAGGATCCTGGAGGACCCTGCGGCACTCTCAGGGGTCCATGAGATCAAAATGATTTTCATAATACCATTAAGATGTAATTTGCCCTTTTCATCGAGTCGCTGTTTGAGCCGATGGTATAAAAAGAGCAGGGAATAAACAGCTGGTGCTTTAGTATGAATCAAGGCAATGGTGGCAAACTGTAGTAGTTAGTACTGCACTATTCACCACCACATGTGCACAGTTAAAAAAAAATAACAGCCAGTTTCACTTAAGAATGTCCTTGATGAAGCAATAAAAAACATCAAATTTATTAAACTTCAACCCTTGAGTGGCTGTCTTTTCAATGATTTGTGTGATGAAATGGGAAGTACGAGCAAAGCATTTCTGCTGCCTACAAAAGCCCATGGTGGTCTCGAGCAAAAGCACTGGAGCCAGGGTTTGAGCTGGAAGCTCAAGTAGCCCTTTTCTCCAGGGGACACCGTTTGCCCTGGGAAGAACAGACACACTGTGGTTATTAATATTTAGCCTCAGGTAGTTGGCACATATTATCTTAAAGTGATAATCTTTAATTTTTAAACTTTTTTGTTTTTTTTTATTTCAGAAACATTATGGGGTACAAGTGTTCTTGTTACATGGATGAGTCGTATCATGCTGAAGTCGGGGTGTATATACATTTAAATGATGACCTCAGGGCTGTCACTTCAAGGATGATGAAATGTGAGAGATCAAATGAAGGATTAGGATTTTTGAGAAACTTGTATCTATCACTGTGAGCTGGTTTCAGATTTCACATGGCAGCAAGTTTTTAAGAAACTAACACTTGACAAATTTTGGTGTACTATCAAGGAAGAATACCTACAATTATCTGAATAGGTTATTAACCTACTTCTCTGTTTTCCAACTTCATGGCTGCATGAGGCCATATTTCTTCATATACTTCCATCAAATAACATATGACAGTAGACCGAATGCAAAAGAAGATACGAGAAACCACTTTGTGTGCTAATGTCAGACATCAAAGAAATTTGCAAACACATAAACTAATGCCATTTCTCACTAATTTTTATATAACTTTTTTCTTTCTTTCTTTTTTTATTTTTTATTTTATTTTATTTTTCGAGACAGAGTCTTACTCTGTTGCCCTAAGTAGAGTGCCATGTCAGCCCAGCTCACAGCAACCTCAAACTCCTGGGCTCCAGTGATCCTCCTGCCTCAGCCTCCTGAGGAGCTGGGATTATAAGTGTGACATGATGCCTGGCTAATTTTTTCTATTTTTAGTAGAGACAGGATCTCGCTCTTGCTCAGGCTGCTCTCAAACTCCTGAGCTCAAGTGATCCTCACACCTTGGCCTCCCAGAGTACTGGGACTACAGGCATGAGCCACCACACCCTGCTTAATTTATATATAACTCTTTTCATTTAAAATATGTTATTTAGATTAACAGGTGATGGGTTTATTATCATTTTAAAAGAATTAATAAATGTTTTTTAAGGTTCTTAATTATAATTTCTGATATGGTCAATATCACTAGATATGACCCACATACACAACAGCTCTTTAGATCCTGTCTTTCTTAAGAGTGTAAAGAAGCCTCAGTTCCAATCATGGTTCTGCCATGCTTGCAAGTAACTTGCTATCCTGGGCAAGTTACCTAATTTCTCTGTACCTCA